CTTCAAGAACCCTAGTGATTGCTTGTGAAGGCCAAACTTCATAGCTCTTGAATGATGGAAATGAGCTTCAATCCTTATGAAAATAGAAGGGATGGAACGAAAATGAAGAGAGGAGAAGAATGGTATGAGTTTTGTGGAGGTTTGGTGGCTGAAAATGGAGGTTAGGGTGCTGGAAAATGAAGAACAAAAGAGAGAAAATGAAGAACACTATGAACAAGAGAGAGAGAATGTAGAAGATGAATGAGATATGTGTTGGATCTCATTTTGGGCTTAAAATGGCATACTCCTTGGTGTCTCCCATCAGCTGAAGCTTAATTTAAATAAGGAAAAAGAAATTAAAATGTAAATGGGAGCCTTGTCACACTTGCAAGGTGGCAACTTCCTATTGGTTTGTAGATGATTCCAATGTGTGCCTAATTTCCCATGTGTCATCCACATCATTTTAGCTGATTTAACCCCTCAAAATAATCATAATTCACGTGCAAACCATCAGCCATTGACCTCAAGGAGTGTTGACCTCAATTACCTAATTGATGCACAAGTCACATGCCACTTATGTCACATAAATCACATAATTCAATTAAATAGCATATGATATAATAAAATCTAATTCATGTTTAGAATTAAATTCATAATTAAAAGAGAGAATTTATTAAATTAACCAAGTTTCAGGCTGCACAAAATTATATAAAAATTTTCACACAAAGGCAAACCAAAAACTAGGACAAACTAAGACACTTAAGAAAGTGTTGACTTTTTTATTTAATTACTCCCAAACTAAAATGAATTTTAAAAATATAATTTCACCATTCATCAACTGAACATAAAATGTACTTTGTCAATTTTTCTTGTACATTTTCTCAAAAGTTCATTTTTTTGGACCAAAATGCCCCTAATACATTGAACCTAGAAACTTAGGCAAAGTTCCAAATCTAATGCAATGTGTGCACTTGAAGGTGATAAATCATTAATAAAATGGTCCTAATTGACAAATAAAAGTGGGTACCAAATGTGTTCTATCATTGACAAATAATGCAATGTGTTCTATCATTGGTCTTGGTTCTTGTATAATATTCGAACATTCATCATAAAGGACATAAATGGAATATGTTTAATTTTTGACAGGCATCACTCAATAATGGCCGCAGTTAGGGGATCTACGTGTTGGGTGGTAACCATAGAATGGATACCATGTTTTTTGTTTAAGGCATATGGCTGCAAACCTCCACAAAGCACATGGGATAAATTGGTTAAAGGAAAAGTTTATACACATTGGTATAGTCAATTATTTTTTTTAATCACAAATCTATCATGATATAATTATTGATGATATGTTTCTTATTACATATAGGTTATACATATAAGTGTCATGTTGTTAACCAACAATTGGCCGAGATAGCATTGATCCATGAGCAAGCAGTAAGATGGATAGGTGAATTTCCAATAGAAAAGTGGTTGTGTGCATATGATATTGAAGGCCAGTGTTATTGTCAAATGACAATTAATCTAGCAGAATACATGAATAGTGTTTTTAAAGGTCTTTAAAGCCTATCAATTGTAGGACTTCTGAAGGCTACTATGTATTGGATGAATAACTATTTTATTAAACATGCCCAACAAGTTGAAGCACAAATAGTAGTTGGTCAAATGTTTTCTAAAACAATTATTAAGAAGTTAGAAATGGCCACAAAAGCTGTATCAACTTGTATCGTTTGCACTTTTAATCAAAGGGAAACCTTATTTGAGGTGTAAGGACCAAACAATATTTAAATTTATCAATTTGGACGTTGTTGCAGGGTTAGTCTGAATGAGAAAAAATGTGATTATAGAGAGTTTCAAGTAAAAAAAAAATAACCATGCATGTATGTGATCGTAGCATGTGCTAGTGTTGGCTTAAACCATTTACAATTAGAAGATCCCATTTTCACTTTACAATATATGAGGCAAGCTAATAGTAATGAGTTTCATCCCATAGGAGATGGGAATCATTAGCTTGAAATTGATATTTCTAGTTTGATTCTTAACCCATCAATGATTAGATAAAGAGGTTGTCCTCACTCAACTCACATACATAATGAGATGGATTGGACCACACCCACTAAGCCAAATAAATGTGGGTTATGTAGACAAATGGGTCATAATTTCTCTACTTGTCTAAATAAACAAGCATATAGAAGTTAATTTGTATGATTTGTAATGAATTTGACTTTAATTATTATAGATAAGTATGTTAATTGTAATTGACATTCTTCTTGCTATTAGAAATTTCTTTATTTCTTTAAATTGCATTGCAATAACTTATAAATGGCTCAACTAATGCAAGTTATTAACCTAGGCCTAGAAGAAAATACATTCTTATATTTACAAGAATAACATATTTCACAAACCATATGAAATGACAATGTAAATATCATTTCTCCTTATCTTGTCTAAAATTATTATATTTGACAATTTTATTAATTTTAATTTTTTTAAACACGATCGCATCCTTTGAACTTGAAGAGTTATATATGAGGATTGATTGATAGATCCACCACTACAAATCATAGAGTATCTTAAACAAGCTAGATTTTATGGAGTTGTGAAAATAGGACAATTCAAATATGACTGAACTCTAGTCTTAGCAGTTATTGAGAGGTGGCGACTTGAGATACATACATTTCATACCACTTATGGTGAATACACAATAACTTTACAATATTTTGCTCTTCAATTAGGCCTTCCATGTATTGAAACTCCTGCCTCTAGTAAAACAAATTGGAATTTGTTTAATGTTTGTGAATGGCTCCTTGGAATAAGACTACCAGAAGATAAAATGTCAAAACAAAGGCTTGTAATTTCTTGGCTTGCTGAACACTTTTACCACCTCCTTGATGATATGAATGATGCATAAATCTAACAATTCACAAGAGTTTACATACTTAGGTTGATTGGTAGGTATTTAATGCTAGATAGGTCAGGTCATAAAGTTTATTTAATGTATCTTCTGTTACTTTGGAATTTTGAACAAGCCGGTTGCTTTTCATAAGGATCTGCAATATTAACACATCTTTATAACAAGTTATGTAATGCCACCAACCTAATTGAGCAAGGGATAAGTGGATGCTCAGCATTACTTCACTTATGAGCATGGGATCGCTTTTCAATGCTTGACCAAAGGGACCTCCAACTCCAAATACACAAATAGACATCTATCCTCTTATACCCCCTCTTTGATTTAAGTAATGCTTATTTTAGGATTTCATTAATGTGAGTTTATATTATTTATTTCATCATATAAATTTAACAAGTTGCAAAAATTAATCAAAGATGGAAAAACATGGAGCGACCACCTGATCCTAGTGCCATAGCATTGCAACAATATAGACTTTGGCTCGATGCAATGGCAAAGGATAAGATAATTTGGAAACCATATGATTCTCATATCAAACGAGCCATTAGATTGCACATCCGAGTACATGCGATGGTATTGGAGACATACTCGAAGGTGGATTAGCTCAAGAATTGTTGTAATTGGTTTTGTAGTAAGTATTCACTATCATTATATTTTTATAATTGATATTCCTACTTCTTAATATTTTTTAACTAATATCAGGTAGATATAGTAGAAGGTTTATATAAGTTAAGTCTTCAAAACTCTTCACAAATAACAATAATAGATTATCAAGAAAGGGTTTGTTAAGACCAATGCAACATATTACTTGCGTTAAGAGAACAATGCTTCACAATGATCTCTTAACTTGCTCCACCTGCAGTAGATGTGCCACACCCACATAATCCTCAAGGTAGACAAAGTAGGAGACGTGGAGGCTATTTGTCTACACAACCACATGATGCTAGCCAGGGAAGATGAAGTGGAATAAGGCTAAGGATGCCCTTCTTCTTACAACTTGTTTACTCAATCCCATCACATGCCCCTATCATCCTTGTCCCGCCAATTTAGCTCTTCAAATATTGAACAATTTAGCTCATTCACTTCTCTATTTGATGATCTACTATTATTTGTAGCCAAATACAATGATTAAATATTTGTACATGGAGGGCCTTCAAATGAAATATTTGCGACTCCACAGCATTTGATCTTCCTTATGGAGTCTCCTATTTTCGATTTGAATACCCCACAAATTGGACCAATCATAGAATTATCAAAATCTCAACACAAAGAGCTCACAAGACAAAGGTGACTACACCGTGTTATAAGGAGACCAAGATGTGGCATAGAAAGCCATTATGTATAGATTATTATGTTTTTAATGTAAAAATATTTAATCTTTAATTATTCTAAAAAAATAGCCTTTTGTTATTATCTACTCATTTTATTATTTTATATTTCTTAAATCATTATTTATTCTACTTCTATAATGATATAAAATAAAAAGAATCTAGTCAGTAGCTCATCATTTCATCAAAGATTATCCCATCAATTTTTTTGTAGAAAATAATTTAATAATCATAAAAATAATCATCTTATCATCATGATTATATTAATAAAATCAATGATTAACTAATGATGGATTAGGGTAGGGGTAGGTAGTGAATGAAAAGTGAAAATTGACTTCAATCAAACCAAGTTGAAAAAATTGGCTTCAATCAAATGAAGTTGTGTATATTCCTATCAAATCAATGTTTGGTTTTATAGCATCTTGAATTTTTTTTTAGTATCTTAGTAACTAATTTTTTTATGTAATATCTTGGTATTTTTGCCAATCATTAATCAATATTAATAGTTGTCCAAAGAATCTATTGATCATGTCTTTGACGCCATGACACATTAAAAATATCGCCTGTCATGCACAAGAAGCATCACTAGCTCTGACGTTAGAGTCTTCATGACTTTTCCAATATTCCTACCTCTATCCTCTCTTATTTAATCTCCTCTGTCAACATACTCTTCTAAGCCATAAAAATAGGAACACGTATCTCCTCTATCAACATACTCTTCTAAGCCATAAAAATAGGACCACGTGAAGGAAAGAGAGAACACAAAGTGAGAAACTCAGTAAAATAAAAGCCAATTTTTATAGATAGGTAATGAAAGACAACATCTGAAACTCGATGTAAGCCATGTTTTTAATTTTTTTTAATGGCATGATAGTCAATTTTCCAATTGAATCCCTGTAACATCTGTACATATGCAGAGACAAACACAAATGAGCAAGGATCAGCATTACTCAAGCGGTAAGTTCTTATGCATGCGAACATGGCTCAGCATTACTCAAGCGGCAAGTTCTTATGTATGCGAACATCAGGTGCTCTGGGTTTTGTCTCAGGGTCAAAGGTTGTGAATCTCACAATTATCTTTGTGAGGTCGAAGAAAATTGTGTAGATAAAGAACGGGAGATCAGTAGACGGGTGAGGGCCACAATGATTCAAAATCTGGACTGGTTCAGCCATTGCCCCAACACCTTATGGGCTCATTTTATAGCTCTTTGAAGAGTTGCCTCCGGTTGAGACATTCAGAACTAGCTTTTGATCTAGGAATCGGAGCCGATTGAAGGAAACTGACCAAAATAAAAGAGGGAAAAAAGGGAAAGGAGCAAGAAAAATGGACATAAAAATAAAAAATAAAAAACAGAGAGGAAAGAATGGAAAAGGAGGGGAAAAAATACACATATAGACGCTTAACAAAGAAAAAAGAACTTACCATGAATGTATGATGAGAATCGGGCGACGTTGAACAATGAATAGAAGGAGGCTGATGCCGACGGCAAAAAGGAAAAATGAGGAGAGAAAGAAAATGAAGCTAAACATAGAACATGGGGCTAGCTAGCTAACGGTGAAAAGAAACTCACGCGCACACCAGTAGGATACAGCCGTGAGCTGTCCAACACCCTTAGTTTCTTGCGGATGATTGTACTAACTTTAATCTTTAGGAGAATGACAGTTAAGGACCCCCTAAGGATATTAATTTCAATTAGGGATTCTGAAAAATAGAAATCCCAAATAAGGACCGTGGTCCTTAATGGGGATTAAAAAACATTGAATTGTCAAAAATGCCCCTGAGTTCAAAACAAAGGTACTGCGCATGAGAGAGCCCTATTCCTTCTCTACTTTAGTGTCTTCCTTGGTTACTCCTTCTTGTCGTCTTCCTCTATTTCAGCTCGGCCGGCTGCTTAGTCGTTGATCGAGTTTTCTATATCAGCTCCAATGGTGCGCAATTGCTGGTGAGAGGTCCTCTATTGTTGCTCCCATTTTTAGTTCGGTGTGAGTGCTTTGTGGTCGGTGCCCCCTCTTCTCTTCTTCCAGGTTCGGTGCCTCTCTCTCTCCCCTTCCATCCCTCGGTTTGTTCTTCGGTGGGGGTGAGAATGATTTTGTGTTTGTTGTTGATTGTGCATTTTTTTCCTAGTGTCATTCCAGTAAGGTATTTGCAAAAGAGAAGAAATTGCAGTAATATTGATTTGTGATCCCAAAATAGTTCCATATTTGTTTATATTTATGCGATATTCAAACCTAATTTTTTGCTCTATTCTATGATTTTGCCATGAATTTGAGAAGAAAGAGTGAGAAGCCTTTTGTTCGTCTGGTATTTTTATGTTATAAGATGAATTTATTTTGTCCTATTCTTTTGCTAGCCGAGCACATATACTGGCAATGAACTGAAAATTTGTAACATTTGGTTATGTGTCTTTCAAGAAGCAATGAAAATCAGCCCAGAGCTAGCTCTTTTAAAACATAGGGCTGTTACAAAAGGGAGAAAGGCACTACTTAACAAGGACTTTGGACTCTTCCTTGATTCCTTCCATGTGTTGCATTGAAACTTAGGTTCTACATTGGCATGTTTGGTGTTTGGTCTCTAGATTTGGAAAAGCTTTCCTTTTCATAATAGAAGAAAAACATAAATATAGATTGTAGCAGAAAGGTTGATAAGATATTATAAACTAATAAAATAGTTAAAAATAAGGGAGAATGATAAATAAAGAGCTTGTAATAATATTAATGCCAAATAAGGAATTTTAGTATTGAAACATGGTTGAAGGAGTACTGAAATTTAGAAACATCAATGTTGAAAAGTCTTAATTTGACATTAAAGCTCGTATAATGTCCTCATAAAATAAATGTTTGGCAAGGTTCTTTCGACTTTAAAATTTGCTTGTGTAAAAGACGAATGCAATCTTGACCAAAAAAATTGGCGAAGTTAGGGAGGCTGTGACTATGATTTTCCCTGACCCTCACATGTTCTATGGAGAAAATTCAGATTTCATGTTTGGTAAATCTAATAGTATTATTTTGTGAATTCATTAATGACATTAGATACATTCAATAATAGTTTGTTTTTTACCCTAATTGTTAATGTGCAGGATAATGGCTAAAACAAAAGGAAATCCTTTAAGGCAAAAAAGTTGTTCTGGTTTAAGCAAGTTCAAAGGGGCATATCATGGCAAGTATACAACCCAGGGAAATGATTTGAAAAAACTCAACGCAAAAGTAGTTGTAGCATGGAAAAAGTTGACATCAGAAGAACAAGATCATTATAAGCGTCTGGCTAAGGAGGAAAACGCTGGTATAAAAGCTTACGAGGTACATTGTTTTTGACCTCAAGCATGAAAAATGTGATGAATTCAAGTAATGGTGCTGACTTATTTTACTTGGACAGATTCCATTTGAGACAAGGTGTTCTCCGACAAAGATGAAGGAAGTTTTTGATTATATCAAAAAGTGAAAATCTTTAAGGGATAGGGTTAATAGAATAGAATTTGGTAAGCTTTTAAATATTAAATGTCACAAGTTGCCTAGAGATTTATGTGATGAAGTGATGAAGGCATTTGATCCTCCTACATCATCCCTTTTCATTAGAGGTCAAAGGAAAGTCATCAATGGCAAAGCAGTTCATGCCTTACTTGGCTTGCCTAATGATGGGGAGATAGTTGATATAAATGGGGATAAGAATAAATTAAAGTTATTAAACAAGGAGTTTAAAAAAGTATCCTATAATGTAATTAAGGACAGGATACTCTCGGGGAAAGAAAATGATAAATTTGAGTTTCTCTTCATTCTCTATTGCTTAGGGAATTTTCTTTGTCCAAGTTCGAGTTCCAGAATAAGTGATAAACAATTGAAAGTCATGTCCAGATTAAATTTAGGAACTGTACATTATGATTAATCATCTTTTATACTATTTGAGCTTGGAAAGCAGGTAGCCGAATATAAAGCATGGGAGAAGAAGGATGGGCACAAAAAAATTGTTGGGGGATGCTTATTTCTTCTTGCAGTATGTGGGTAAATTAAGATATAATTTGTTATAAGTTAATTATTTTGCAAAATTCTGTGGGTTATATGATATAGATATAAATATGCAGATTTTCTACTTTCAAATGTTTCCATTGGAGCCAATTGAGGTGTCATTGTAAGAAGATGCTCTGGAACATTGGATAGCGGAGAGAGTGACAGCACGAGTTCAACTTGAGAAGGTAAGTGATCATGGCATTTTGTATCACCCTTCTCGAGGACATGAAAACTTCTTAGTAGAGCTTCTAGAAATGACTTTATTTTATGATTTGGTAAGGGCAAAATCATGGTTGTTAATTAGAAAAGTTATTTTTTATATAATTTTAAACATATGACATTTTATATGGTGCAGGACATAAAAAAGGTATATAGATATATTGTGACCTTTACACGTGGAATTGCACAAAGACTCCTCAAGCTCCAAGATAAAAGAAGAGGAGAGGAAGTTGTTGAACAGCATGATGGTAAAGAGGAAGAGGAGGAAGAGTTGGAACATGATGACAAAGAAGAGGAAGGAAAAGAGACAGGAGATGAAAATGAAAAGGAGGGAGACTTCGAAGAAGATGAGAAGGAGGAAGAGGAAGGACAAGTAGAAGGAGATGAAAATGAAGAGGAAGGGGATCTAGAGAAGATGAAAAAGAAGAAGAGGAAGGACAAGTAGAAGGAGATAAAAATGAAAAGGAGGGAGAATCAGGTGCATAAGAAGAAGGAGAAAAGCCAATTAGAAAAAAAAGACTCTAAGGGTGAAAGGATACTAAGACAGTCACAACGACAAATAGTCAGCACTATTCATTCACCCTTTTTAGATGATAGAGGGAAGACAAAAAGAAGACATGAAGAAAGAGGACAATGTATAGAGAAAGAAGTTTACTAATACTGTACAAAGTCTATTCCACCCAATGAGGGACATGAGTATGATATTCAACCTTACTAGTTCAAGTGTTTATAATCGATTGGTTGATATTAATTTTGTTTTCTGTAATAGGAAAATTGTGGAGATTGAGCAGTATTATGTGACAAGATATGAATGCAAGTATCTAGGTCCTAGACAATGGATCAGTAGTTCGGTGAGTAAGTGTGATAGTTAAAATAGATCAAGTTATAGTAAAATTTTAATGTAACTGTAATTTTGTTATGTAGGTTGTTACATTAATTGGAAGACTTTTGGTCAATGAGCAAAAGGAAAAGGATCAACTTGTGTGGTGACACATTTTTGATCCAGATTTTACGGTTTGTCTTACAGTTTAATTCCTTTGTTTTATTAGGTGCTTACAAGTTACAAGTGTTACATTTTTTCATTTCAGGGAACCATAATCCACTAACAAAAAAGATGGGAATTGGATAGCCATTTAAAGGACTTTATGCCAACTACCATCGGGTATAACATAGGAGATTGTGATTTTATTTTTTCCCTATAGTGTTTGCATTGCACTGGTTTTGCTATGTTGTGAAGCCGAAAACAGCCACAATGTATGTGCTGGACTCGATGCTACCATCTGGTAAAGAATTAAAGAAGAAAAAGAAGAATATAAAGAAAGCCAAGGAAGCGATGTTGCCGAAAGAGAAGAAAAAATGGCATATTTTATGGTATGCCTTTTCCCATATAATGATATATAAAATTTTATTGGTGAAAGCTTCTCATTCACTTTATTCTTATTCTCAAAAAAGTAGGTTTGTAGAAATATTAATGAAATTGAAACCTGAACTTGTTGATGACAATTATGACCTTGAGTTGAAAGTGGTGCCTATGGAATAGCAACCGACGACGTGAGTAAAAAAGCTGAAATTGTGTACATGTAATTAAGTATATATTTCCCAACTACATGCTGACAGATTTCATATTTTTTGTAGATCTGATTGTGGAATGTATGTCATCTTTTACCTTAGGCAGTGGAATAATACTGCACGAGAGGAATGGGGCTGCCTTACTATGCCTCCTCTAACAATGGTAGGAATAAATGTTAAAGTTAAGATATAATTTGATATGTGTGACAGTTTTCTATCTTGTGAGTTGACTTTATCTAATTATGTAGGAACAATTGAGTGAAATGAGGAGTGAGGTATTGTATTGGTTGGTGATTCATCCACACAACAGAGTGGGCTCTTAAGTCATGACGTCCATTTCGAATGCTGGGCATGCACGATCGAAAAGATTGAAATCATAGTGTAGACACTTGTGATATGTAAATTAAACCTTTATGTAATTAAGTTTTTTTTCATGGCTTCTTGTATATGATACAGAAATTAATTTAAAAAAAACTTTGACTATATGTTCAAGAAATTTGACACACCGTTATTGATTTTCATTGACTCACGTTACTTTTAAAACTGACGTTCGGTTTTTCACAATATATGTTACGGAATTTCCAAGTAAGGTTGGTGGAACACAAATTGTGCCTAGCTTATCCTTACATAATGAATTCCCAATTCATGTTAGGCTCTTTCAAAACATATGTTCAGCTTTTTTCCAAGTTAGGTT